CAGCCTGGGTAACAAGAGTGAAACTCCGTCTCAAAAAAAAAAAAGAAAAAAAAAAGTCAGGAGAAGGCCGCAGGGGATGGCTTACGCCTGTAATCCCAGCACTTTGGGAGGCCAAGGCGGACAGATCACTTGAGGTCAGGTGTTTGAGACCAGCCTGGCCAACATGGCGAAAATCTGACTCTACTAAAAACACAAAAAATTACCTGGATGTGGTGGTGCGCATCTGTTTCCTGAGTTACTCAGGAGGCTGAGGTGAGAAGATCGCTTGAACCCAGATGTCAGAGTGCCCGCCACCACACCCAGGTAATTTTTGTATTTTTAGTAGAGACAGGGTTTCACCATGTTGGCCAGGCTGGTCTTGAACTCCTGACCTCAGGTGATCCGCCTGCCTCAGTCTCCCAAAGAGCTGGGATTGCAGGTGTAAGCCCCCACCCCCAGCCTACTGCAGTGAGCCCAGATCACACTACTGCACTCCTGCCTAGGCGACGGAGTGAGACTTGTCTCAAAACAACAAAAAGTCGCCGGAGGGGAAAGGCTGGTCCTGGAACGCCAGTCTGAGAAGCCAAGCCTGCTCCCTGCAATCTTTGGAGCTTTGCTTACGCGGGGAACGGATTGAGGGGTTCGCTCACCCACCTGCGGGTAGATTTGGTGCAGTCTGGGCTCAAACTCCAGGGGTCCAACAGCCCTTCTGTGTGGACACTCGGCGTGGGGCCCTCCCTGGTCCTCTGTTTCCTCCTTCGTAAAGCAAGGATTATTCATCATTAACTCATGTTTATAAAGCACTTAAAGCATCTAGGTCTGTTAGGACCCCCTGCCCTCAGGGACCTCATGACTGGGGACAAAGGAATGAGGAAATGATTTATGACAGAATTTTTCTTTTCTTTTCTTTTCTTTTTTTTTTTTTTGAGATGGAGTCTTGCTCCGTCACCAGGCTGGAGTGCAGTGGCACGATCTCGGCTCACTTCAACCCCCACCTCCTGAGTTCAAGCCATTCCCCTGCCTCAGCCTCCCACGTAGCTGGGACTACAGGTGTGTGCCACCATGCCCAGGAGTGATCTTTTATGTGTTTAAATAAGATTTGTAGGCCAGGCATGGTGGCTCACGCCTGTAATCCAAGCACTTTGAAGGCCAAGGCGGGCGGATCACCTGAGGTTGGGAGTTCAAGACCAGCCTGACTAACATGGTGAGATCCCGTCTTTTTTTAAAAAATAAAAAAATAAAAAATATATATTTTTATATATTTATAAAATATATATTAAAAATAAAAATATATATTTATATATTATATATATTATAATATATACATTTTTTATTTTTTAATTTTAATTTTTTTTTTTTTTT